TGTTTTCGAACCTCTTCAGGGCTCTCATGCATTAGTGTAGTAAGCATAATTCATAAAGAGAAAATTTAACAAACATTTAGCGGCTGATTTCCTTTTCCTCTTAATCCCAAGTTCTCCACCGAGCGAGAGAACTTCATTCCTCCTTTTGCCATTAAACCCCCTCTACGCTATCTTTAGAGGAAAACAATGCGCTAATGAAAGGGGCCTGATAGAGGAAAGAAAAGGAAGCATATCACTAAAATCTTTCATTACATACATTATTCCAAGTAGCATTTCACATGCAGCCCTGGAATTTCTGTGCGTTTTTGGCGTAAAACGAGGTTAACCACTTCTTTTGATTTTTTAAATAATCTCTTCCCTGTGCTTCACCTGTCACAAGAATTTTTCTTAAAAGCAGTAGATTAGTACATCTAAACTTAATTTTTAACTCACATATAGCTTGTAATGCCTCTCCGAGAAGAACGGAATTCCGATCCGAATTGTGTTGATCCTCAGGCAGTGGTCGGAGTAGTAATAAGGAGAATCGTCCAGACCAAATTCATTATCTTTTTGCTGCGGTCCGTAGGGATACATGTTGCTTGCTGGTGGAACTATTAGAAATAAAACGAAAGAAATGGTTCTGATAAACTTTTTTTTTGTTAGGAACGAAAAAATGAGGGGACGGAACTATAATTGAGGAGATTAAAGAAAAAAAAGCCTTTCAAGAATTAAGGATTAAACGGGAGTGGAATCCGTGGGCGCTACTACCAACTAAGCAACAAAGCAACATCTAAGGAGGGAAGCAAACTCTTGCGGGCTCTTCGATTCTGTGAAGGAATCTGACCACAGTTGAATTGAAAAGGGAAATAGCCCATTATACCCACACTTGTCTATTGAGTGGGAGTTTAAGTTACTATTTTGGGAATACATCAAATAAATACATTAAGTTTTGCAAATCTTTTTTTTTTAAAGAGTGTTGACAAAAGCGTTAATGGTAGGGTATAACGTTTTAATTGATTTGATCTTCATTTAGCGCATTGTTAACTATAACGAGCGATTTGAAAACAACTGTTTCTTCGATCCGTTCGAGGTTCTCAACATATCAAACTTTTATAACTCTTCTTGTTTATTGGAGATTGATTTAGTGCAACTTACCGACTGACGGAGTGGGCGTGGGGCTAACAACAGCTAAAGTGAAGGAGAAAAAAGAAAAATAAATTGCGTTAAATTTAAAAAAATTGAAAGTGTCAGATTGCTAAGATTGCCAGATTGCCAGATTGCTAAAAATGCCAGATTGATAAGGAAAAAAAATGAAAAAGAAAATAATTCCGTTACAGAAACATCTGTTTTCGAACCTCTTCAGGGCTCTTATGCATTAGTGTAGTAAGCATAATTCATAGAGAGAAAATTTAACAAACATTTAGCGGCTGATTTCCTTTTCCTCTTTATCCCAAGTTCTCCGCCAAGCGAGAGAACTTCATTCCTCCATTTGCCATTAAACCCTCTCTACGCTATCTTTAGAAGAAAACAATGCGCTAATGAAAGGGGCCTGATAGAGGAAAGAAAAGGAAGCATATCACTAAAATCTTTCATTACATACGTTATTCCAAGTAGCATTTCACATGCAGCCCTGGAATTTCTGTGCGTTTTTGGCGTAAACCGAGGTTACCCACTTCTTTTGATTTTTAAATAATCTTTTCCCTGTGCTTCACCTGTCACAAGAATTTTTCTTAAAAACAGTACATTAGTACATCTAAACTTAATTTTTAACTCACATATAGCTTGTAATGCCTCTCCGAGAAGAACGGAATTCCGATCCGAATTGTGTTGATCCTTAGGCAGTGGTCGGAGTAGTAATAAGGAGAATCGTCCAGACCAAATTCATTATCTTTTTGCTGCGGTCCGTAGGGATACATGTTGCTTGCTGGTGAAGCTATTAGAAATAAAACGAATGAAACGGTTCTGATAAACTTTTTTTTAAGGAACGAAAAAAAGGGGGGATGGAACTATAATTGAGGAGATTTCAAAAAATAAGCCTTTCAAGATTTAAGGATTAAACGGGAGTGGAACCTGTGGGCGCTACTACCAACTGAGCAACAAAGCAACATCTAAGGAGGGAAGCAAACTCTTGCGGGCTCTTCGTTTCCGTAAAGAAATCTGATCACAGTTGAATTGAAAAGGAAAATAGCCCATTATACCCACGCTTGTCTATTGAGTGGGAGTTTTTCAAATCTTTTTTTTTTAAGAGTGTTGACAAAAGCGTTAATGGTAGGGTATAACGTTTTAATTGATTTGATCTTCATTTAGCGCATTGTTAACTACAACGAGCGATTTGAAAACAAATTTTTATTCGATCCGTTCAAGGTTCTCAACATATCAAACTTTTATAACTCCCCTTGTTTATTGGAGAATGATGTAGTGCAACTTACCGACTGACGGAGTGGGCGTGGGGCTAACAACAGCTAAAGTGAAGGAGAAAAAAGAAAAATAAATTGCGTGAAATTTAAAAAAATTTAATAATTCCTTATCGACTAATTCTATCACAAATTTTACTCTAAGTGGTCTGCCATCAAGTGTGGATAAAATTTTATCCTTCAAAACCACTATTTGCTTGCTGGAAAGCGAGATAAAGAGCAATGAGCACTTTATCTCAGTTGAGTACTTTGTCGTAACAACTGGTGTATTGCCACCCTTAATCCACAAGTTACTCTTATAATCTCTTATCCCCTCTTCGGCAAACATTGGCGATTATTTTGATTGGATTTCATTTGGCAATGTTTCAATGATATTCACGTGGAATCTACAAATTGGAAAGGCTGCGCCGTGAAACCAGGCTTTGGTGGGAAGATAGTTGCTAATTCTTTATCAACAGCCTCTTAGAGAGGGCTATTGGACCCCGAGTAGCTAGCGTTTTACTTTCTAACCAGAACGACTTTAAATCGTGCTGACAAACCAAAGAAAGTTTTTGGAACTTATAACTTTTATGATTTTTATAAATTATAATGAAGCAGAAACACTCATACTGCTGCTTGGCGAAGGGGCAGGTGTTGATGTGCTGCACGGGCAATAACAGACAGAGGAAGCCGAACGCGATGACATTCTGTATGTATTGGTGGGTGATATCATTTTCCTGGAAATGCAATGGACTCACAACCATATTTTTCATCTGCTCTCACATTATCACGACGTTCGAAGTCACCAAATGCTCTAACAAATGACATAATCTTTGCACCCTTATAAGAAATCATTTAACGGTTCTGAGTTTAAATAAGTATGCAAACATGCCAGCTGAATCCTTCTATTTATTAGTCATTCTTAGAAGGACGTTCATACTTGATGTCAGACTCCTCTTTGTAAAGACCCCTGGTTTTTGTGTTCATATTACCCTCTATTATTCCGTGAACTTATAGTATCATTTAAATCCTTACAAAAAATACTAACGCGTAGGTATACTCACAAGTTGAATTCATGGCCGATATTGATGTGGCACAGGAGCAATAACAAACAATCGAATTTACAGGCTTAAGAGTCACAAGGACCGTCAACTTTTTCTGTAGACTCTAACCGTTCATATATATTTTTTCTATTTTGTCGCTTAAGGTAAAGGTTTAGGCTCTACCCCAACATTACTTCGTTATTAAAAATAAATCACAACAATCTACACCATTTACCACGAGCGAGTGCAAGTCGCAAGCGGGCTCAAGTCGGCGCGAATGTCCACGAGTTACCGCTGGTGACCACTAAGTATTACCACGAGTGACGACGAGTGACCAAAAAATGACTACGCTTGGGCCTTAGTCTGAACGTCCTTTTTTTTGCTAAACAAGAGCAATTAACGAATGTTAATTGTATGTCACTCGCATGTAGCCGTAGATACATCTATAAAATCGTCTTCCTCGTGTAATGTTTCACTCATGATCCTAAATAAATTGCGAAAGATCGAACATTTATCAATCACTACAGAGGCAAACAACACCAAGGATGACTGCAGCTTTTGGGAGGTACAACAAGTTATACCAAACGACTATACCTGCAGATTGATATTCTTTTAAATGTTCAAAACAGGATATTCAGAAATAATTTACAGTGTACTTACCAATTTTGGTCTTAACTTATTATGTGAATATAAAAAAAGGCACTCTCCCATGACTAATGTTTCTTCATTCTTATCAGAAGGCCGAAATTTGAGGATCATCAATGAATCGATTTACTCTGAACTCGGTCTTGCGAATGGTATTTCGTTCCCCCTCCCCACCACATTTCTAAAACAGCCAATCAAGATGTCCTAGTTTTATGAGGCGCCTGAAAGGTATGTGTTACCGTGATTTTGCTGACTCAGTTCACGATTGTCAGACAATTGCAAGGTCGTTCAGCCTGCTGGTTATGCTGAAGTTGCACTTAAGTTGGGGAACCTTTGTCCTCTAATTTAAAAAATTAATCAGTGATAACTTGTGTTTCACGAGGCTGAGCAGCAATACTTTTATCCTAAACATTTTTTCATACTTATTCATTTCATGACTCAAAAACTCCCAAATATATTCCCACATCCTCTTGTATTATTTGCATTGCATTTTGTTTGTTCGTTTTAAACTGGGAGTTTTCGTTAGATTAAAACATTGAAAGCAGTGCTCTTTGACTCACTTGCAATTCTTGATGTCTCTATGGAAGAGCTGCTACGTTCATGGGGCAATGATGAGCTTGTTCTCATTGGTTCATGACTTGAAAAGCTTGGACTTGCTAATACATGCTCGATAGACGAGTTTGATAAGCTTTTTGTAGTACTTGGTGTAACGTTAGGTGTAGTACTGAGTGACTGAGAACGACCTGGAACTATCAAGAAGACAAGTACTTTAAACCTAGCCTCCAATAAAAGAATATAATTTTAGCTGAATTGATCAAAGAACACTTGATCCAACCTTTTAAGTCCCACGTATAAAATCGATCAAACAGATTATGCACTGTAAGAAAACGTGATCATATTAATAGTCGCTTTTATTGTGCCAGCACGGTCATTAACACCCGTTGAGATACAAATTAGCGTTCTCGTATGGAAAATTCTCCTCTACCAAGTGTAACAAGTGAAAACAATTTTGAGCTGTTTTTGTCTCCGATTAGTACATAAACTACCTAATTATAAACGTCGTACAAGAACACGGAATCGTTTATTGCTTAGTTTTTTGCTTCTGCTTTTGCCAATTCTGTTTAGACACGAAGCAGTATCTTTTCCGTTTAAGTAGAAAAGTTGCAATTCCTATTAACTAACAAATCGACGTTACTCGTCATACTTATTAATTGCGTCTACAGGATGGAAAACCTTAGAATTTACCTTCCGTGGCAATATCATTGATTGACGAGGAGACAACTGCAGATGTAGAAGCATTGAGAACTGAGCTCGATGTGGGCTGGATGCCAGACACAGCTACATTGGCCAAAGAGAAAGAAAAGTCATGATGGCTGAAAGATCGAACGCACTTTATCACGACAGTTTAATTACAATGGAATCGCATCATTAAATAAAATCTCGCATTCTGATTGATTAACGAAGCGAGATATTCAGTGTGGAATTGCAAGTTGAACGAGGCTACGTGGTATTATTTCGCATGTACGTATACATAACAACTATAAGTAATGCTGTTTTCTTTTTTTATTTTCCCGCTACCTGAGAGAAGGATTGCTTCCTTTGGACAAACTGAAAAAAGGAAAAATATCCAAGTGAATGTGGGAGAGTAATAATGGATTGGTGTGGAAAAGAAGCTCAATATATATGTCAAAAGGAACTAGAGTACAGTCAACATGTATCCAAAAAAAAAAAAAAAACTATATCATAACTTTAGTGATCTGAGTAGAACGTAGTTAGGGACCACTTATTATTTATGGCCTGTGATAGGAGGGGGAGGAGGAAGACGTGGTTCTCAGGTGGAAAAGAGGAGGAATCAGTCGTCATCATCGGAGAATTGCGTGCAAGCGTTCCAAGATCACGTCTCGACAAAAGGCTAAAGATTATTTTATGAAAGCGTCACAAGATGTGTGAGGTGGTGTTAAGTTACGCGAGGAAGTTTTGACAATTTGAACGCGTTATAGGGAATATAATAGGGAACGAAATATAGCATAACCAGAAATCTTATACAAGATGGCGGCCAGAATGACCGCCAGTATGCGCTTAGCGCGAAAATGCGGAGTAAATATGGCTTGGAAGTATACAGGAAGTAATAGGGAAATAAAAATATTTTGCATTTCATACTGCTGATTGGCGAAGGAGCAGGTGTTGATGTGTTGCATGGGCAATAACAGACAGAGGAAGCCGAACGCGATGACATTCTGTATGTATTGGTGGGTGATATTATTTTCCGTCCAACGCTTGATGAATAGGATGTAAGGCTCCCTGAAACCGAAGAAATGTCTTGCATTAAACCAGTAGATGCGGAGGATACGAGGTTCTCTGAAACAGTTAACGCCATTGGGGCTATTACTGAACCTGGAGTATCTTGTATATAACCCATAGATGTGGAAGATGAAAGGTTCTCTGAATCATACACCGACAATGATGTTTCTGCAGGAACTGAAGCATTTTGCGCAAAAACCATGGGTGTGGAAGATGAAGGGTTCTCTGAACCATACACCGACCATGAGTTTTCTCCTGAAACTGAATGACTTTCGGCAAACGCGCTGGATGCGGAAGATGAGAGGCCCTCCGAATCATACAAAGACCTTGAGTTTTCCTCCAAAGCTGAAGAAATTTGTCCAAAAACGCTGTTTGTGAAGGATGAGTGGCTCCCTGAATCATACACGGACCATGAGCTTTCTGCCAAAATTGAAGAACGTTGTCCAAAAGCGCTGGATGTGAAGGACGAAAGGCTTCCTAAATCAGATACTGACGAGGACGCTTGTGCTAAAAACCTAGACGTTATGTGACAGGGACACTCACACAATGAGGTGTGGTCAACCACGCTTGAAGGAGCTGTAAATTGGAAAGGATCACGAATAGTTAATTTTGGTCTTGACTTATTATGTGAATATAAAAAAGGGCACTCTCCCATGACTAATGTTTCTTCTTTCTTATCAGATGGCCGCAATGAGAGGATCATAAATAAATCGATTTACTCTGAACTCGATCTTTCGAATGGTATTTCGTTCCCCCTCCCCACCACATTTCTAAAACAGCCAATCAAGATGTCCTAGTTTTATGACGCGCCTGAAAGGTATGTGTCACCGTGATTTTACTGACTCAGTTCACGTTTGTTAGACAATTGCAAGGTCGTTCAGCCTGCTGGTTATGCTAAGGTCGCACTTAAGTTGGGGAACCTTTGTCCTTTAATTTGAAAAATTAATCAGTGATAACTTGTGTTTCACGAAGCTGAGCAGCAATACTTTTATCCTAAACATTTTTTCATACTTATTCATTTCAGGACTCAAAAACTCCCAAAAATATTCCCCCATCCTCTTGTATTATTTGCATTGCATTTTGTTCGTTTTAAACTGGGAGTTTTCGTTAAATGAAAACATTGAAAGCAGTGTTCTTTGACTCACTCGCAATTCTTGATGTCTCTATGGAAGAGCTGCTACGTTCATGGGACAATGGTGAATTTGTACTCATTGGTTTATGACTTGAAAAGCTTGGACTTGCTAATACATGCTCGATAGACGAATTTGATAAGCTTTTTGTAATACTTGGTGTAACGTTAGGTGTAGTACTGTGTGACTGAGAAGGGCCTGGAACTATCAAGAAGACAAGAACTTTGAACCTAGCCTCCAATAAAAGAATATAATTTTAGCCGAATTGATCAAAGTAACACTTGATCCAACCTTTTAAGTCCCACGTATAAAATCGATCATACAGATTATGCACGGTAAGAAAACGTGGTCATGTTAATAGTCGTTTTCATTGTGCCAGCACGGTCATAAATATCCGTTGAGATACAAATTAGCGTTCTCGTATGGAAAATTCTCCTCTACCAAGTGTAACAAGTGAAAAATATTTTGAGCTATTTTGTCTCCGATTAGTACATACGCTACCTAAATATAAACGTCATACAAGAACACGGCATCGTTTATTGCTTAGTTTTTTGCTTTTATTTTTGCCAATTCTGTTTAGACACGAAGCAGTATCTCTTCCGTTTAAGTAAAAAAATTGCAATTTCTATTAACTTATAAATCGACGTTACTCGTCATGCTTTTTAATTGCGTCTACAGGATGGAAAACCTAAGAATTTACCTTCCGTGGCAAAATCATTGATTGACGAGGAGACAACTGCAGATGTAGAAGCATTGAGAACTGAGCTCGGTGTGGGCTGGATGCCAGACACAGCTACATTGGCCAAAGAGAAAGAAAAGTCACGATGGCTGAAAGATCGAACGCACCTCATCACGACAGTTTAATTACAATGGAATCGCATCATTAAATAAAATCTCGCATTCTGATTGATTAACGAAGCGAGGTATTCAGCGTGGAATTGCGAGTTGAACGAGGCTACGTGGTATTATTTCGCATCTACGTATACATAACAACTGTAAGTAATGCTGTTTCCTTTTTTTTTCTCCCTTTTATTCAATTATACGACTCAAGGAAAATTCATTATTTGACTCGTGAATTCCGCGTTAAATTGCATTTGAAAACCGATATCGGGAAGCGATTCGTACGATATCGGTTTTCGCGTGCACTTTAATGCAGAATTCCCTCGTCAAGTAATGAGTTTTCCTGTAAAATGCAACGGACTAAGGATTAATTTCATGATCCTGGGTCCTTTTTACTAACAAAGTTAGCCAAATCTGTCTTTGTTAA